TATTGGCCTATGTACATATATTTATATGGCAATACACTGAGGGAGTGGACAGACTTCAGGCCTCTGCTCAAGCCCTTCCTCAACGCAAGAACACTTTGTTCTAACAAGCTGGCATTCTGTGATGCTCACCCTCCCAGCACAATCGCTGAAGACAAAATGGGTGCATAAGCAAATGTGGTGAAGAAAGTTGATGGTGCCTGGCTATCAAAAGATATAGCGTCTAGTGTCTTAAAGGCTTGAAGATAAACAAGTGACCATCTAGCCAAGAAGCAGCAAGCCCACATGGAAGAAGCACACCAGCCTGTGCAATTATGAGGTGTTGACGGGATCGGGTAACAGACATCAAAAGACACCAGATAAACAAACCAAAAAACCACCCCATATTGTTCAGAAAGAGGAGGATCAGAGCAGAGACCCCCAAACCCATCTGTAGGCAATGGGACATCCCCTCACAGAAGGGACACAAGGAAGGGATGAGTCAACCAGGGCACACCAATGAAACACACACTCTTCCTCTGATTCCTTGAGGTTTCCTCCCACCCACTATCATAACCCCAGTCCTGCCTTTCACTTTGGGCTAAACCTGAGCCTGTGCACAGGTACAGATAAGAGATAAGAGTTCAGGACACACGAAATCCAGGAATAGGAATGGGAATATCGCTACCAGGAGGGTAGGGGAAGAAGAGGGGAGGAAGGGGGAACTAATCAAAATGATCAACACATAACCACCCCCACTCTCACCCACCAGGAGGACGAACAACAGAAATGTGGGTGAAGGGAGACAGAGGTTGGTGTAAGATATGAAAATAATAATAATTTATAATTTATCAAGGGGCAGAGGGAGGGAAAAAAAGAGGAGCTGATACCAAGGGCTCCAATAGAAAATACGTAAATGTTTAGAAAATAATGATAACAACATATGTACAAATATGCTTGATACAATTGATGTATGGATTGTTATAAGAGCTGTAAGAGCTCCCAATAATATTATCTTTTATTAAAAAAATAAAAACAAAAAATGCATTGACATTATAGATTAATCTTTATGTCAAACAGCTAATTCTGTCCTCATAGTGCAATAATTTTTCCATTTGTGGTTAAAATAATTTTGGATCACTTTTGTTCGATTACATTTTTTTTCTGTTTTCAGTTTGGTTTTTAAATTTAAATGGCCATTGTTGCTCAGACATGAGTAGACTGAAGCTACTCACTATAGGACATTTCCCAAATATTTAATATGATGGAATGTAAGTAGCTACTTTGGAATTATATCATAATATATTTATTTATACTATATATAACAGAAAGAAAGGTAATTTTGTCCGGATAAATATGTGTTAACTCAAACTTCAGAAACTATTCATAGGTTTCAGGTCTTCATAGAGCACATTCCTACTACACATTTTACAGAAGACTCAGAGAGAGGCCTGAATATGGTGATCTCTCTAGTGAAATGAAATTGCTGCTTTTCTTTCTTGGAGAATTGGTTTGCTTAGTCTCCTTGTCTCTCTCATCACAGATGGGGCCATCAGACTTATAGGTGGGAAAGGCAGCCACGAGGGTCGCTTGGAGGTGTATTTCAAAGGACAGTGGGGCACTGTCTGTGATGATGGCTGGACAGAACTGAACACATATGTGGTTTGCCGACAGCTGGGATTTAAGTAAGATTCATCCGAATTCCAAATTATATTTTTAGAAGTCTCATTTTCTAATCTCTATGTGTGATTTCCATTAACACTAAAAATACATGTTCTCTGTATGGATTATCCATTTATCTGTCTATCTCTCTATCTTTCTGGAAACAATTTGGTAGAATTTCCACCTTCTTTACAAGAGACACAGTTTTGATTGCTTGTTAACGCAACTCATTCACAGCCACCATCCGTCATCTGTGGATGCTTGCATGTTACTATAATGCTGTGTGGGTTTCAGCGGAGCGTCTAGTTTAGAAAGAAAGGCCAAGTGATCTACTTTCAAAAACTTGCAGTGAAAATCGTATGAATCACAATGGTTTAATCTGAAAACCATCAGGGAGGTGGTTTAGGACGGGGCAGTGTTTCACTCCATTGTGCATGTGGTCACCATGAGTTAGGGCCAACTCAATGGCAGCTAATAACATCCATCCATCCATCCATCCATCCATCCATCCATCCA